GGACATCAGGTCCAGTTTTTGACCAATCATATCCACGCAAAATTTATTAGGGACGGGTCACATATCTGCAAATATGGATTAGCAAGTGAAAGAGAAAGCTTAGTGGAGATGGAGGGCGAGCCCTGAGCTACATGGCGTCGTCCGCAACCGCAGGCTTCTCACAGCACCAGATGTGCAGCAAATCCCGCGATCAAAAACCGAACCTATTGTCCTCCTTCTCGTCTTCCAGCTCCGATTTCGGGATTGCTAAGACTGCTCAGTGCTGCGGTTTGCGAGGTTGATGTCACATGTTGCTCCGAGCCGAAGCATAGCGCATTCTGCCATTTGACCACCTGTGGGATGCGCCGTGCGCCTTACTTGCCCTCAGCGTTGGATTTGACCAATAAGACTACTTGAGGTGATAATGTAACTAGTGTTCTTCTCCCAGGAGAGTCTAGCGCGAACTAGACCATCACCAAATTTTATATGGGCTTTTGAAAAATAGATGGTCTGTATAGAATTTGATCACAAATGAAGAGGTAAAATGAACGTTCAGGCCGGGCAGTTCTGGCTGAAATCTCATTTTCACGTTCATAGTACTATTAGCCTTACATGTTGGCCTTATAATAGTTTTAACATTTGCAATCCTCTAAAGACTCATTTTATGGGCCTGCCTCATCTCTTGTATTTGCAGAATGCTAGCATAAATAGCGCCGGGGTTCGAGGTTGACCGTATACGACCGAGAAAGGAAACTGGAGTAGATCAAGGTTGTTCCTCACTGCATTCCTATTGTGTTGCCATGTGTGCAAGTCCGCAAGTAGACAGCGAATTACTGCCTCCGATGGCTCGTAAATGCCCTTGACTAACACCTTCAAATATGTCGAGTCGCATTCCTTCCTTTCGTCAATTCGCTTTTCCCTCCGCCAATTACTACAATGGCTGCAGTTTTTCGAAGGCTATCACTCAGGGACGTTCACTTGGCGCGCTTCTGTGACTAACTGAACTTGAAAAATTTGCTTAGCCTTATAAACTATTATTATAGGGTAAGGTCTCGAAGAGCAAATGCTACAGCGTCACGCCAGCCCTTTTGACGCCTCTTATTAATACCGCATCCTCACAGAGTGGCTACATACAATGAAGCATGTGCGGACCGACCTTAAAGTCGTAATCTAGCACAACTTGAAAGTGTACTTATCTAGGAATAATCAGCAAGATAAGCCTGAAAATTGCGTCCCCAATCGGCTACTTCACCGGCATTTTGCCACGTGTCCTACTCCTTCGTAGACAGTTTCGTGGATTGGCCAGACTGCCGATGCCGAAGCAAGGGCCAAGCCCTTGCGCTGGTACCTTCGAAGTCTGGCGATCTCCTCCTCGCTATCAAATCGAATACACTCGACCCCCTCTCCTTCAGCCGCAACGCCGTTCAACTCAACAAATAAGACTTAACTTTTTCTTAAAAATGGTTAATTTATTAATCCCAAATTCGACATGCTCCCAAATCGCGAGTCCTACTCTCTTTCCCGTTGATGCTGAGCAATGGAGTAATAGGCGATATAAGTCGGTGTTTTTGTTTTCCCAGGCAAGCATCAGATCAACTAATATGTAGGCCACGAGTTGTGGAGAGCTGGAGCAGCAGTTGTTGATAATCCATTTCCCTCTGGATTACCCGCGGATGGCTTAAATGCCAATAAATAAATGGAAAACTGAATAGCTGGTTCTGTATTGCTCCCTTGCTTAGATCTTTCTCGTAAATGAATCCTACCATCTTTGAGATCGTGTCTTTTCAGATGGAACAACGCTATTATTCAGCTGAAGCGCAGTGGAGAATACGATCGACTCAGCGTAATGCACCGACAGGTTTGTGCTTCAAAAATTATAAAGAAGACCTTAAACGGTAGGGATTGTGGGGAAAAAAACGAAGGGCAAACCTTAAAAAGCATTCCTTCCAGGTTGGATCATCGTCTGGAGCACATTCCGGTCCGGGTTTCCTCCCATGGCACAGGGAATACATGAAAAGGTTCCAGTTCTACTAAATACTAGGTAAGTTCTTCCTCAATGTATTGATTTTGAGGCAAGCGCTTTCAGGCTTGAAATTGCTGTTCGCATGGTCGATCCAGGAATCGCAATGCCGTATTGGGACTCGGTGATGGATTCATATCTCCCGGATCCACGTGACTCAATAATGTTTTCTCCGATGTTTATGGGAGAAACAGATGGTGCCGGTCAGGTGGTTCGAGGTCCATTCGCGGGTTTTAGAACTCTCGAAGGACGACCTAACATCGTACGGTAGGTCTATACTGACTTGCTCTCGACTGTCTGATTCTGATTGAATGTAGCTGGAGCTTAACTGGATTTCTTTCAGACGTCTCGCGACTGAGGGAAAACTCTTTACCGAAGCCAACATCAACAATCTGCTGAGTCAAACGGAAATCCAAAACGTTCTTGCCTACACCGCTCCACAGAACGGTACGTTCACCTCTTATTTCCCGGGGCAACAATAGGCAGACAGCGACGAGGTCGACAATGAAATGGTTACAAGTGTCCTTCTCTGGGCATCCACGCTAATTTGCCTTTGCGGGGCTGAGGCTGAGGACAGACGTGTCTACTGGTTTTCTATGCGTAGTTACTGTTCAAAGACCGAGAGTACCTTGTGTTCGACCACGATCGATCACATTAGAATGCGCTATAAGAACCATGCCAATTAAGGACACTCGCTTTTGGAGATAATTCGAGAGAGAAGTAGCGAAATGGCATTCTAAATGCTCTTTTAGCCTTTCTACATTCCAGAGGAAATTGCGAATAAACACGGTAGATCGTCCGTGCAACTGAAGAAATTGGGGAGGGAGGGGTCGTAGGAATGGAATCGGCAGTGGACTTTTGGAAGGGTTGTATCTTTCATAGAAGCTTCCCAGGCACCCGAGGAATATCCATTGATCGTTGTGAAATTTGTACGAAATCCTATAAAAATTTCAATGTTTCTTCATTCGGCCCAGTCATCCCTCCCCTATGCGCTCCATGTATTCTCGGGAGGAGGCTGGAGGGTAGGCCGATGGGTCAATTTGAAGTAGAAGGATCCTGGAGGTGGGGTTGGGGAAGAGGAGGAGGGTGGTGGCGTCTTTAAGTTGAGATTGAGGATCGCGATTCTGTTGGACAATTTTTTGCCTTAACGGCATGGCGGCTGTGCTCGCAGTATGATAAGGAAATGCTTCAAAATCGTTAACCCATTTGAAAAGAATCTTTTTTCTCAGGAATTCTTGTTTTTTTTAATTCAAGTTTTCCAAGCACGATGTGGTCTAGAACTGTTCCTCAGGTTGCTCTTGTTATTCTGTTTTTTCGCCGAATATTAGCGATATTTTGTGGTACGCCGTGTATACGCAATCATAGCAATACTTTGGAACGATTGCAAGGTTACTTGCAAGTTAGGCCTTGGCGACCTTGGTAACTATGGGCAATTTAACCCCGGGTAGCACCCTTTTCCAGTTGAAAATATGCTTGGTTTCAAACAAAGAGATTAATGTCCAGGATGTCCATTCCGACCATACTTCGGGAAGCAATTGATACACGCAGCTCCTCGAGTTCATTTATGATTCGGCGGCGACATGAAACCACCCAGCACCTCAGCCAATGATCCCATCTTCTTCTTGCATCACTGTTTCGTCGACTTCATCTGGGAAATGTGGAGACAGTCACGACAAAATCGATTTGTACGCGAAACTGTGAGTTTTTCAGCATATTTTCAGGCGACATTCCAAGAGATGGGAGCATTGTCGTGGCAACACATCTTAACCCGCGTTAAAGGCATGGCCCAGGGTTTACATTAGTGTTGCTCTTGCACCCGAATGCGAATGTATTGGCGCGAAATGGGCCGGCAGTAAAGAAAAAAGGAAAGAATCCGTCGAAAACGCTTAGGTTAAGGGCTCACTCACCTTCCTAATCGGCTGTGCTAAGGGAATGAGAGACTAAGCGCGGAGAGGAGAGTATGAGGCGAGAGAGCGCTACAGATGAGAGAGCGCCAGACAACAGCCTGATAAGAGAAAAAATCTGCAGCTTCAGCAGCTTACTTTGCAAGGCCCAAGCGCTCTTGTCGGTTGGTTTCCGTGCACGGGAACGCCACATTTAAGGATACCTGTCATCCTGGGGCGAACTCTTGTCCTCTGAGGTCTATACTCACAGACAGAAGGCAAGCAATCACACGAATTCTGATTAGGTTGTGCCCTTGAATACCACCAAACACCTTTCATTTTGTTATAGGCCGGTGTCAGACTTTGCGAGTCAAGCGATTCGCTCGATTCCCTTCTACAGGAGCCATTAACACGGGGACTTGGCTTAGAGATAGTAGGAGACTTCCAAGTGCGTTGAGCACTTCAATTTCCCAAGGTTTTGCGCGTGGACGTTTACTAGCGAAAGCCCTATTCAACTACTGGTCTACCATTTCATGTGACAAATTTCCATTAAACCGCCTGTTGCACAATAAATCGATGCCCATTCCTACTCAAATAAGTGCTGGCGCCGTCGATCCAGGGTCATGGGTTATATCATGTGTATCGAGGAGGCCCTGGTGAAGGTGCCCCTCGTACGGGTAATCAGAATTTTCGACTGGAGTACTATCTTATACCTAATTGTGTCAACATCTGGCATTTAAGAGCCATTCACTTTTCTACGGGCTAACTTGTCGTGCTCTCCTCCACGCTTGCTAATGGTTGGCAAAAAACGTCGACCTCGTCTGAGAATTAACTGAACGTTTCTGCGCGCCACAAATTCTTCTTCTACTAAAAACTAAGACAAAACGGTAGGCTCACAAGCAGCTGAAATATGCCCGATCCGATGTAAAGTTCGTAAAGGGGTTAACGATGAGCGAAATGGGCATGAAAAAGAGAGAGATGGACCGATGACGTAAGATGAAACGAGCGCAAACGATCCCCAATAAACACCAAGAGATCACTAGGAGTATACGGAGCGCCCACGTGATACATACATATGTTATGGACAGAATTCGGGGAACAGGCGCAATCCTTAGGTGATCAAAAATCGCGGAAATTTTTATCACGCATCTCCTTCGTTCTCCTATAATGACTCGCAAGGCTCCGCGAGGGACATATGGTTGCTAATGGCACGATTCAGCTATAGGAAACATTTTGTAGGTATATATAAGAAGGAGCTGAGGGTGACTACAAAGAAGAAAATGAAGAAAGGAATAGCAAAAAGTCGTCTGGCGAGGAATTCGTTACGAAGGGGTACTCTAACCATAATGAGAACTAGGGTTAAGGCAAGAGAACACAACTCCAGGGCGACGAGAGCATAGGGGCACGAGCGAGACGCCCAGACAACCGAATGTTTCGCTATGGGCGATGGCTATCGATGCATTATGCATTGCTGTCATGTGCAAATTTCAAGGACTTTGCTGAGCGGATACCGTATGCCTGAAACACACACAGCAACAGGAAACGTGAAGTAGTAAGGTGCAAATATGGAGTAGGTGCTCCCATCGCTCTTGTAGTGCGCTTTCAGTCGGATACAAGGCTTCTGTCAACCAGGGTGAGAGTGTGGAAGGGAAGCAGACGTTCTTCGTGGTAGTAGGACTCAGCCTTCAAAAGGAGGGAAGGAAAGCGGAGATTCTGTAATAGTGCGCTTGTGTGAGAGCTCCCAGACAGCAAGAAACAAAAGCCGAGTTGGCCCAGCCTCACGGTTGACAGATGACCGGAGACCCTTTCAGTCGCGTACGAGGCAGTTGCTCCCGCCTTTACGGACCTAGTTGTCTCATTCACGGGAGGGACCCTTCGAAAGAATTCCTCGAATATTAAATATTTGGATCGGCTACAGGCAGCGTTGAGGTCTATTTTTGTTCTAGCCGAGAAGGAGGTGCTTGAAAACGTAGCGATAGGACTTCCTTGCTTACATTCAATGAGATGTTTCAGGCCTATCCTCCCGACATCGGAACTTGTGCCAACTCCCAGCACTTCAGCTATGCCCAGATGAGACCGTGGGACAAGCAGAATCGAGACGGTACGTCAAAGTTTTATTTCTTTTCGAAGGCTTTTCAATATAGAGCTATAAATATGTATGTATATCCTCGTTCTTGGTTTTTCAAAAACTCCCCTTTCAGGTCTGTCCAACGAGTACACGGATTACCTCTACCACTATGCACCAAGGCCCACCTGCTCGGCTCAGAATCCCAACTGTGGCTCCCCGTATCTGTTTTGCGACACCCGAGGAAGCCCACATTGTGTAGCTAAGGTAGGATCGAGTTCTTCAGAAGCTTTATAGGGTAGAAAGAGCCTCAAGTGTCAAACGAGACTTTCCAGATCAAGCCAAACGGTCTTTGCCGTGGATTCGAGGGTTTGGACGCGTGCTGGAATGGAGTGTGTGTGGCCAGTTGGTGTCGACCCGGCCAACTCCAAACGGTAGGGATCATTTGTCAGCAGCACTTAAGTTACCAAGGCCATATAGGCATCCAAAGCCATCACGTATTCTCAGAGAACAGTGGAATGCATTTGCGTATAAATAATTGATCGCGAACGGGAAATTTTCAGCATTGAAATAATTACTTGTTTCAGCCCCAACAGCATGTCCAGTCAACTGCAATGCAGACCCGGCCGACAGCCCCACAACAGAGACAAGCGGCAACACCCGCACCGACCATCGCACCCCAAACCATGGTAAGTCCTTATATTCTGGTCTTTCTACTTGGGCCCAAAGATAGCCCTGTAAGAGCTGAGGCGTGTAGGCGAACGCTGCTCTTTCTGGAACCTTCCCTCGATAGATTTTTTACTATTTAGCAACCGGCTCCATTTTCGAATGTCAACTGCTACAATGACGATCCGTGCTGTGACGCCTGGGCAAGACAGGGCGAATGTTCGGTAAATGTGGCCTACATGAACCGATACTGTAAGAGGAGTTGTCGCCTGTGCACAAACCCCACGGATAACCGTCCTGGTGAGTTGCGCTGCTTCGTGGGCCAAAAAAGGGTCGGCTAAAATCCATTTCCAGGTTGTCACGATCGACATCTTTCGTGTGCATTTTGGCGTGCACAAAATTACTGTACACGTCGACGTCAATGGATGGCCGAAAACTGCCAAGCGTCTTGTGGTTGGTGTAACATGGGACCACAACAACTCTGCGCGTCGGTGGCATTCATGAGTCGAGCGTAACTGCTGAGAAAATGCTCGATTGATCGATCGATATAATTTGTAGATGTTGTACGAAAACTGGCGCGGTGTATTTGATGATGTCGCTTAAGTGTAGTCGTCTTTCGCTTCTCAACTGCTTCTCTGATCACCGCTTTCATCATTTGAGTAGTACTGCCGCTGAAAGGAGTTTTTCTATGAGCCATGTGCAATGTCCTAAATCACAAGGTCCCCCTCCCTATGTGGGCCTTTCCCCGTTGTGAACTCTCTGTGCACGACCCATCTGGGAAGGAGGTCAGGAGGCACCACCGCGCGCCGCCTACTCGATGAATCATCTCCGCCGCAGCTGTGGTGCATACGCCGCGCGCGGCAAAGATTAGTCACCGCGTCGTCGCCCACGCGGTATCGCGTGACGTCAGCCGACCCATACAGCATGCCAGCAATACAATTCAAATAAACTTCCAGGAAAACCACCGAGTTACGGGCCGCAGCAGTGTCGGCAGCATATGCTGCCGACACGCCCACTCGTCCGTGATTGGCTACCACCACACGGGTTACTGTGTGCAGACACGAGCCAGCCAGTCAGAGACTAGTGGGCGTGTCGGCAGCATATGCTGCCGACACTGCTGCGGCCCGTAACTCGGAGGATTCACTTGCAAGTTTATCTTAGAAAATACTGTGTGGGAAAAGACATCGATATGAGGCTACCTGCCTGATCTGACCATCCCCCCCCCCCGGTCTGGGTCCTTGAAATTTTACACAATAGTATCACAACGCAAGCACATAGTAGTGCTTGGAAGGGACACTGCACATGGTTTTCATCAAACAGCTTTCCTTCTCCTTCTAACCCCGTTCGGGTAACCCTTCGTCCACGTACACATGTTCAGCTGTTCATATTGTCTCGAGAATATACCTTCATCTTCCGTTTTCTAGTCGAGTATCGTTGAGTGAAAAATTGTACTGAGCACAACAATAAGTGTGTGAAGTACGTGAATCTATACTATATATTGTACGCCTTATTCATAATGTTAGGTGGATTTCGAACGGGATTATGAGAGTTGCCTTAACATTTTATCGACCTCATTTGTGGTCGAAATATGAAATTTGTGTTTCAAATGTCAAATGTTCGTTCAAATTATGCGTAGATATGTCATGTAAATAAATTTCGTGAACTTCAATAATTTCACACAAGAGAAAAAAAATTTCTCACAAAAGAACTTCGTCAAGTAAAACGGACGTATGTAGTTCTCCTTTTTAAATATCACCCGAAAGCATGGCCAATCGTCCGTCTGAACTGCTCGGACGTCAGGGTCGTATTCGGATTGAAGCAAGGCTAAGGAGTATTTGGGACACCCCTAGGCCTTATGGTGCTACGGGCGGGGGTCGGCAGTTGTACCGAGAAGATGGGTCGTAAGATCTTTGGAGAAGTCTGAACGCTGCGCTAGACCCTGCCCGGCAAGACGAAAAACGAAAACTATGCTCGCTTGACACGAATGACCTTCTTTGAAAGAGGCTGCGCCCTGCATTCGACTCCATTCATAACCTTAACATTACCTTACATGTATTCAACCTGTTCTTCTCCGTATTCTTCTATTTACCACCCGATGTACTTGAATGTTTCTTTACCATTAGAAACCTTTGTCCGTAAAGCAAACAATGGGACAACAAATAGATTTGACTGAGTCTAAGCGCTAACCTGCTGGCTTACGAAGCTTGATCTTTTGAGCTCGTATGCATAGAGAAGGCAGCTTGATACTATAAAATCAAGAAAAACTTCTTGATCCGATTACCTCCTTTTTCCCCATTAGTTCCCGGTAAGCGACAGTCAGTCTATCACTCCCTCTTTCAGACCACTACGCTTCTCTGCTAAACGGCTAGAGTCAGACATCTAAGTACCCATCGATTACAGTCGGTCCAGTGTCGTGGGTCGGCCCTGCTTGCCGCTGTTGCATATATCTTCGTTGCTAAACGCACCAAATGGTCTCGCAATTCTTTTGGATCACCTGCTCCTTCGGCTAAGGTTTATTCAATCTTAGACCCCGAATTTTAAAGGGGCTTCTTTGTAAAGAACACGATCTCGAAAATTCTTGAAGGATTGGTCTTGTAAGGAGGGAATAGGTCCTGACTCTACGTCGTCTCACTTCATACGATTCACACAAAATGCGCGAAAGGGTTCTAAATGTGCACTTCACCGCTGCGACAGCTCCATTTTTGCATGCTTGCTTCGGCAGAATACCGCTATACTGTAGTACTCTCCTGTACGACGCGTTCTTTGACGTACTTCACCTTCCTGCCTGCGCTGTGCCTCTCCACCGTCACGATCCACGGTCGACATCACAAAAAGGGTGATCTCAAATTGCGATGTAATTCAGAAACCGTTCACTTTTCCTTCAGTGACGGTTCTATTCGCACTCCTTTTTCATTCTTGAGCGGAATAACACATCGATTTAGCCGTGTAACGTGCTAACGTACGTAGGTGTACTGAATGGTCGAGGTGTAAGGGAGCGCAATTGCAATTGGAAAGGCCGCAAGAGGGCATGACTGTGTTTCATAATCACAGCCCTGAATATAAACGTGTTTGTGTTTCTGGTCCTTCGATGAAACGGTACTCTACACGTCTTAGGTTCTTCCACAGCGTAGTAATGCCTGTCGCAGACTTTATAGTAGAAGATAAGGGTGCGAATTGTTGGGTTATCACTTTGTTCGTCACTCTGAGCAGTTCAGTCCCATTTGCTAAGTCGCCGTAGTATTGAATCGACTTGTCTGCACAAGAACGTGGCCGGCCGATGTGCATGTCTTGATCTTGTTAGGCTAATCTTGCCCAAATAGCCGACCCCAAAAGGATTGGCTGACCTGGAGCTGTTCGATTCTAGTTTTGACAATTGAAAGTAAGTACTGCTATGGGTGACAATAAAGGGTAGGTGCTCCTTCCAGCTACACCTCTTTACCCAGCCTTGTTAAAGCACTTGCCAATTTTTTTAATATTTTCCCATTGCTTGTTGTGACTGTGAAATGCTTCTCCACACATAAAATGCTACCTGAAGATACCAAAAAATAGTTTATTCTTTTCGATCCCTCAATCTAACTACCATTCAAAATTATTATAGTGCCAACCAGCAATGTCGCCAACTGATTTGTGTCCTTTTTTGCACAGGCGTAAAACCTCGTGGTCATAAGTAGTAACGTTTTTAACAAAAAGACTGATCGTTTATCTTTTGTATGATTGCCGTTCACTCGAAACTATTTCCATTGCATGAGACTTGTAACCGGGTAAGTTTGTTTGAAAGGCAGGGTTTAGAGGATGGATAGAACATGAGAAAAGGAAGGTCCTCCTGAAGTACGGTCCTGTGTTGCTTGTGATAATCCTTGTACCTGTGGACAAGAAGTCCGAGAAATGATGGTCACAGCTTCACCGAAAACGCAGAAGTTGCTCACGTTTATATCGCTGGTACCTCTGGAAGGAATCCCTACACGACTTGCTTCAGGTCAAGAGCTCATTCGTAGAGCCGACAATTCTGTTTCGGTCCACAGCTTCACAGAAAACGCAGATATTCCCGTTTATGTAAAAACTTGCTTAATTTGATTTTGTTCAAATCAGTTTTCTCGTTTATAATTGATTTGGTTTCTGACGAATTATTGTAGCGCACCTTACGAGTGCAATAGTAATAAATAAATAAATAAATAAATAAATAAATAAATAAATAAATAAATAAATAAATAAATAAATAAATAAATAAATAAATAAATAAATAAATAAATAAATAAATAAATAAATAAATAATTGCATCTGATGCTAATCTCCTGGTTCGGGTCGTACGTGTGGATTTATTATTCCTCGTATTTTGTCCCATATCTGTCATGTCGCTTTCTAATTGTACTACTTGGACCATCTTCTCGAAATAGTCTTTGTCCGTCTCTGTCACAGCTGATACTTGTACAAATTTCACGGTTCTCTTCGTTTCCATTCAGCTGTCCACCATCACTTATAAATTGCTCGTATAGCAGTTCCTACATCATTGTGCTCTGGTGATCGGATGATTTCTTTGATTTGCTAATGGATTGCGACTTCACATTTTCTTGAGATCCCTGGTCTGTACCGTTGCCGTCCATCTCTAGCGAGCGATGTGTTCCCGGATAAGGTGGTTGTGTGGATTTCTTCTGAGATATTATGAGAGATATTGCCACGCAGCACTTTCTACAACTCCAACAACACTATCCTACTTACTATAAAGCGCTTCGTCTGTCGTCTGTCGTGTCTCTGTCTGTCGTTCTGTATGTCTGTCACGAAATTCCCTAGCTCCTCGGGATCCGCCTGGAGGGACCGGGTCAAGTGTGGGATGGGTGGGCAAGGTCTCACGAAGTACAAAACACACATCAGCTAAGCAAAGCCCCAGTGGGCGTGGCGTGCATCGAAATGAAGCGGTACTGAAGGCCAAGATGTGGAGGACGATTGCTTTTACAGAGCACAAGTATTCCCAGCTCTCGTTGCGTGTAAGACCTTAGCATGGTATATTGAAATTTTTTGTTAAGTAGGTATTTACACTCATCGCAGTTCGGGACAGTCGCAGGACACTCGTTCCCTGGGAACAGTGACCTTTTCGGAACAACTTGAGTTCAGTGTCGTATTCATGTATATGTGACAAAATACAAAGTGTAAAAGTATTAAATAGACTGTTCATAAAGATTACTGGGAAATTTTCATGAAAAATCAAGTGGATTCTATTAAAATGGAGTCAATGCGGGTTCAGAGTGCCCTACAAGTGCGCTTTACCCAGACTGCTCGTGGCTCAGTTATGTCTTGAAGAAAAATAATCTACTCTGAACTCAATTTTAGAATTTTTCATTTTATGATTTGGCTCATGAGCGGTACCATGAACGTGTGCTGTGTAGTGCCAATGCTGGCCGGATATCATAGGCACGGTCTTGGAACCATATCCAGAATCGTAAACCGTAAACACGACCTGCCGTCCCTGCTGGGCCGCTTAATTAGCGGTAGGCTTGGGAGGATAAAAACGCTGACATGTCAACACCGCGTCAAACTCCTTGTCTCACTAATCATTGTGCAAAGATCGTAATCCATTGTGATACCGAAAACAGGTAGAGCGTGGCGCTGCAAAAGGAGTCCTCGGCAGAGGACATCGGAAGCTTCACCATTTCCTGCAATGTCATACAGTAATAATACTTTAAGACTGACTTGTCCTTAGAAGAGCGGTTCTGGAGGTAGAGAATGATATGTTGTGCAGCCAAGAAGCACACTCTTCTTCACGAATCCATCGATTTTTTACAGCTGGAACGAACTCTCATGTAACAGTGCAAGCTCATGTCATTTTTCTCTGGTGATAACCTTTCTACAGATGATCACGAGGGGCATAGTTCAAATATATCGAGAATCAAGTCATCGGTGGTTCGCTGTGGATGGGAAGATTTATTGAGAAATCTAAGTGTGCAATGTATGTCAGAGCATTGGAAGTGTTTATTTACATTGCAAAACAAGTGACCAGTTAGTCCGATGCTGTTCACAAAATCTGAAGATAGCGTTCAATGTTTTGCTTAACGATCATGCTAACAAAGACCGCAACTTCGTGGACACACATCTCGGTACGTCTCTCCCCAACGGGGGCTATCGCAGAGCAGTCATTTGTCGCAGATCATCTACGCAGTCTTCCTGAAAAACTTTTGTCAAAGATAAGGTAGCTTGAGCATGATTTGTAAAAATTCGGATGTTGTGCGCTTCTGAAGATGGAAAAAGCTGGTTTGGCGTATCGAAATATAAGGTTGGAACGATTGAAATGTCGTTTTCGATCATCAATTATTTTCATTATAAAAACAATAATGAAGCACATCAACCTGAACATCTTCTTCACCTGTGTCACAGGCTCATCACCTTTTGTTACGCAAGAGCATGGATGCCTACCGCGTAGAACTCTTTCTGGTTCGACTCGAAGAAGTTGGGCACTCAAATTTTGACGTCGTCGCGGTTATCGAATTGGTTTGCTGCTAAGGAGTGTTGCGCTGACCTGGGTCAGTGATAGTCGGACGGCGCCAGACCTGGGCTATATGGCGCGAGAGGCAGAGCGTCCCAGCCCAACTCCTCGATTTCTTGTTGCAAGATTTTCGCGACATGTGGTCTTGCATTATCGTGCCATAATTTTTCATTGGCCGAATTTACCCTTTGACGACGGCCCACGTGGTGGAGCTGTTATACGCAGAGTTCAGCTGTAACTGTATAACATACAATCAGCATTTTACACCGTTGCTACTATATCACCATATAAAAACATGACTTTGTTTCCGTGGATGTCTGGTTTCGAAGTCACCCTCAGCTGTCCATCAGCCGCCAACCACGGTCGTCTTCTCGCGTTGTTATTGGGAAACATCTCTTTGTAAAATGCGGTCAACACGAAGTCAAGAACCTTTTTCCTCTTGAAGTTATGGAGCGAAGTTCCAGTATTGGCAACCAGTACTGCTTGCTCGCGTCGCTCAGAATAGGCCGAACCCATTTTCTATCCTGAAAGGCCTTAACAGTCGCACGTAGGAACTTTTAAATTTTTCTGTTGACACAACTGAATCTCCATGCAAGTTTTGTGCGGTTTGTCGAGGACTCAATTCGTTGGCTTTCTTTATTTCTCCGTCATCTAGAGCTAGAGGTCAAAATCCACGATCTTCGTCTCAGGTCCTTTACCTCAGTCTTGGAAGAGCTGAAACCATAGCTGAAAGTGCATCAGAGACTAAGTGTTACTGCTCAATGTTTTGCACACAATGAGTGGGATTCGTTGGCCGTTTTTCTTGCTTGAATATATACGCTCAGACGATGATTTCTGATCAGTCATCTTCAAGCAAAAGTTTTGGCTCGAACATCCGCTCAGTGGCGCCTAAGATTTCGCAATATGCGTGCTGAATCGCTCTCTCGAATGAATGGTCTCCCATCCTAGAGATTGTGTTTGAGCTGAGAAACAAAGGCACAAACGGAAACGACATTCCAACCTAACAGATCAATGAGCAAACCCAGTGCCTTAATTTTAAGAAGAACCATTAAAGGAGTACGGCACTATGTTTACACCAGTCTTTGCTACTGATCGGGCACTGAGCTATTGGCTCAATAGCATCGGCAAAGACGATAGGAGCTGCAAAGTTCGACCTCATCATGGACCTCCAGTCACTTTCGATGAGGACCCTTGCGCTACGAATAGGAAGTGCATCCGGACGCTATTAGCAGGAAACTGTAGCAAACATCTGGACGCAGCCTACGCTCCATGAATGTCCACCTGAATGAAAAAGGCTGTAGCAGAATGAAGCCGCGATGAAAACAGCATGCATTGGTTGACAAGGACGGAGAAGCACCCTTGACCCTCGACAGGTCGACGGGGGGGGGTCGTAATGGACCGCTGGGAATTAAGAGATTAAGCCGGATGCTGCGGTAGGATTAGCACTGTTGGAGGGCAAATATCAAGGAATCGAATGGAAGGCCAGAGGATTTCCAATATTATTGATATTCCACCCACATAAAATTTTCGTTCATAGGGGTCCGCGTAGCAATTTTTTAACTATCTCAGTGATTTATTACAAGGTTGAAGAATCCGAAATTCGCACGTTTTCCAACGGATATTTTATCTTTCAAATGAGTCCTCCAATATGAAGGGATGTGAAGCACACGGCGCATCCCAGAGTGGGCCCAGTTGGTTGCGCGCGCTTCAACTACGGCTCTCTGGAGAAAGAATCTCAATTCAGGAAAATCAAGAGGATTCTGAAAGGGTTCGTGTGAAATTACAGGGAGGAGTACACTATTCAACAAGAAATGCAGCCTTCAGCGTCAAATTCATAAGCATGTAATCGTTAAAGTTGAGACACGCTAAACAATTTTACACTTTTGGAAAGAGAAAAGCACGAGGATTCCGAATCTGCTCTGCATGTTGCGTAAAGTCGCCCCTGAAGAGCCAGCCATAGGAGTTGAAATTTTGCCATTGTAGCTAAAAAATAACTTTCGGCGCGTATTCAAGCAAAATCTTTCTCAACTGGCCAGTGAAACAGTTAAAAGTTCTAGCAATGTTTCACAAGAATGCTGGGTTGTGAACAAAACTTTCGCCCCAGGCGGGACTAGAACCCGCACCTCTCGCTTTCCGGGCAAGTGCGCTACCAGTTACGCTACCGGGGCACCATTTCATCCCAACTCAGCTTTTCATGGTATACGTACATAGCTTCAGCAAGCTACGTACATGAAAGCTGAGTTGGGATGAAATGGTGCCCCGGTAGCGTAACTGGTAGCGCACTTGCCCGGAAAGCGAGAGGTGCGGGTTCTAGTCCCGCCTGGGGCGAAAGTTTTGTTCACAACCCAGCATTCTTGTGAAACATTCGCAAGGCGAACTGCGGCCAAAAACAGCAGTTAACAATCAAAAACAAGTTCAAGCAAGTTTGATACGAGAAATCCAGTTTTGTCTGCCATATTAGCTTTTCAGAACTGACAAATATGAAGCAAGTTATGGCCTCGGAAAGTGTAAAAATAGCGCTCATCATGAATTTTTCTCGTTAATCAATCCAGTTTTGCTATTTTTCATAATTTTACAATTTCAATACTAACTGAAAAGAGTTCTCTACAAACTTTCAGATCTGCTCTCAGGTTGGAAATTCGTCATTTTTTGAAAAAAGTTATAGCCATTTGAATATGTTTTCGAATTTCAACAATAGATGAGCTGCTCCACGGTCCATGTCCATGATCACTCAAAACAGAGCCGGTTAGAGACATTACAAGGCCTTTTCCAAGCGAAATGTGGACGTGTAGGTTGAGAAGCATACACTGCATATTACTAAAACTTGGTAGGCCTTTCAAAGGAAGTGAAGGAGATGCAACTGACAATGGTGGCCGTATGTAAATTTTTCCGTTTCTGTTCTGAATGGTGGAGTAGAAGGTTGCAATTATTTGTCTATTAAGTTCTTCATTTGTCTGGAGGTTCATCTATGCCTTCGCCTGAGGTTCCATAGAGTAGAGTAGTAGTCTAGGGCTTGAGTGTTCATAAGAACACTGCGTGGTATATTTACGGATAATATGGTCGTAGAAGTGTTGTAGGTTCTGTGCTGCTGGTGGTTGCCATTCCGGAAATGACTGGCCCAAAGAAGGTTGGAATCATAAATAAGTCCTGAGGGTAGTCGTATTACGAGTTCGTTTTCGTAGTGTAGTGTTGAAATAGTCTATTCCCGGAAGATGTCAAGGCTAACTTCTGTTGTTGAGTCTTGTAACTACATGTCTTGATTGTTGGGAAATTCGTCTTCTAGGAAGAAATTATCTTCTGTTTGTAATTCTAACATTGTTAAAGTGCGTGTTATAATGTCGTGTGTAAGTAGTTTGGCTTTTAGCGATTGTGTCCTGAGAATTAACTAAGAGTGTTTCGACGCATGTTACATGTTTCTTTTCTGCGTGGCCACCAAATGTGTTGACAATAATGGTGGTTTCGAAGTGGGGTATGAGTTGTAGCCGTTTCTGCCAAGGATAACGATGTAAAGGATTTGGTCGGCTGCTGAGTCTAAGAAAGCGTAAACTTGTTCTTCGTTGTTATTATATTCGTTTCCGGCTCTTAGAATTAGTGGTACAACCATTAATCGAACGTTAATGTTGGTTTTGTTTAATAATTGGAAAAGTTAGAGAGAGTCGTGCACTGGATGCGCAGCTGGTTGGAAATTGATGGTCGTTGTACTGTTACGTAGTGTGGTTTGGTTTTTGGCTGGAGGTTTGAATCGGTTGGGTTGTTCTTGCTGTTGATGATTCACGTAAGTATACGATAGGCTTGTGATGACCGCCACAGTATGGACAGTCTGGTCTCTATAGCAATATTTGTTTTGTGTCGTGTGTTGAAAACATTTCAGCATGCGCCGATACTTTAGTAAGGTGGTCGATTTTTTGTTGAGTAGTGTCAATTTTGTTGCACGTGTCAAATTTGTGAGAACGACCACATACAATGCAGCGGATTGGAAGCGGTTCGTTTATTCTTGTGTAGCGGAGAGTGTGTTGTTCACGTAGGTGTTGTTACGACTCTCGATATGTTCCTTACGTTTGATGAATGTTTGTCAAATTGTCAATAAGGTCGTTCATAGTCCACTATGCACCATTGTCAAATTCTTTTCGTGCAATCTCTTCTTCAATATTTCTGGGGAATGTTTCGAGTACCATTGTTGTCATGTAAGTTGAATCTACTACTTCTCCTTGTTTTTGTATTGTGGCTATTATGGCTTGTATATCGCTTAAGTTGTTTCGTAGGCGTGGGTCATCATGACATACTTTCATTGATTTAAGCTTAGTTGACGGATCATTTGTATGGTAATTCTTCTTGGGGTCTTCGTACTGGTTCTCTGAGTTGTTGTATCGCTCTTTCGTATGCGTCTCCTGTTCGAGGTATCATTCGCAGTGATCTGCGGCATCTCCTTTACAACAGCTCAGGAGAATTGAGAGCTTGCCTATGTTGGATAATGGTTGCTTGTGTACTAGTTCTTGAAACAGTTCCCAGGAGGACCCAAACTCGGCTGGATTGCCGTTGAATTCTGGAATTTTTAGTTCACTGTTAAGCAGTCGTTGTTCAAGAGCTAAGGAGTTTAATGGTTGAATTAAGTGTCTCTTGAGTGTTAGCGTTTTGGTTTGTTGAATTGTTTTGTGTGAGTTCTGATAGCTATGTCTTGGCATTCTAGTTCGGTTGCTCTTTTGTCAAGTTGTTGTGCAATATTTGTGGCAAGCGACAGTTTTGTTTCTCCTTCCTTATCTTCCCAGTATTTGGTAAATGGCTCTTCGTACAATTTATTTCCTGGTGACGATGTTGTATGTATGACTCGTAAAGTGTCCATATTTTATCGACTTGTTCTTCTATTTGTCGTTTCAGTTGGGTTACCTTGAACTTATTAGTGGCCACGTAGACCTTGAGTTCGGTTGCTCCGGATGGGTAAGTCCAGGTGGGGCTATATTGATTTGCTTCGTTAAGTAGTTGTTGAAGATTGTTGAGTCTCCTTGTTAAGTTTTGTTTAGAGGTTGTAATGTTGAAGGGAGAGGATGACATAAAGCGAGAGTGTGAAGAAAGGTGGCGTGTACTGAAGCACAAATGCCTATTTGGGTAATCGCCATGTATATATACTGAAGTGCTGAGTGGTGAATGGTGAGGAGCTTGTTTCTACTGGTCAATTCTTGGAGGCGGAGTTTTATTGCGTTATTTTCAAGACAATTTTCTCCTGAAAGTAGGAGTCATAGGAAAGTGAGAATAAAGCAAGCCATTGGATTAGCTTTGTCAGAGCCGAACTCTTTTTAGTTTAGTTGTGCGTTATTATTTACTTTAGTTGGCGGGTAATCTTGTATTCCTTTTGTAATATTGCTCTGGGATGTTGTGTGGGTTTTTAATTTTGGCTGCT